GAAGCAATGATGGTCCTGTCTTCGGGATGCCACAGTCCTCTTTCCAGTCACTTCTGATTTCTTAGCAGTGATCAATGCTGCCTTCCATTATTTGCATGTATTTCATAAAACATCTGGATTACTTGGTGCAAAGAGCAACAATGCCTGTTGCTAGAACCACTGATACGAGACAAAAATAAAACAGACGTAGACGCATTGGCTTCAGTTCTTTCCTTATACCCTGCACCAAGTGTCAGTTATTTAATTTTGCTGTTTGTGGATTGCTCAGTACTAATGTGGCATGCATTATACAGAATAGTTCTATCCTGCCTAAGAAATCTTGCCCAGAGCAGCTAACGAAAGTAAAACAATAACACTGACAGCTTTCAAGAAGAGGCTGGACGGATATTTGTCAGAGATGCTTTAGGCTGGTCCTGTATTGGGCAGGGGGCTGGACTAGATGGGGTCGCGAAGAGTCGGACTCGACTGTGCGACTGAACAACAACAATGGCCCCTTCCAACTCTGTGATTCTATAAAAGTTTTGAAGTTCCAAAAATCAGTAGTATAAAATATAGACTGGAAGCAGCTGTTAGAGAATAGGTTAAATACCAAGAGGGGTTATTTTAAAACTTAAAAACTTGGGTAAGGAGGTTATGTTTTCTCCTGGCACCTGAAAGCTAATATAGTAGGCACCAGCTGAGCTAGGAGGAGGGTCTTTCTCAGCCAGGGAGCCACCAATCATAAGGTTCTGCCCTAGGCCCCAATGGTGGTTCAGACCATGAATTGTTGGTGGCTAAATTCAGAGTCAAACTATGCAACATCAAAAGGACAGTACCTTTTGACATCACCAAAATCCCCCCCCCCATACACAATTGAGGTTAAAAATTGGTTTGAACAGCTGGATATGGCTGAGAAAATGCCTGACGAACTGTGGCAGGAAATTCATTCGATGATCGTCGAAATAGCAGCTGAACATATACCATACAACAAGCCAGAGAAAAAGTGCAAGTGGCTCTCAGATGAAACCATAAAAATAGCAGAGCGAAGAAAAGCAGCCAAAGCAGCAGGAAAATGGGGAAAAGCAAGAAGACTGAACGTGGATTTCCAGAGGACAGCAAGGAAAGACAATGAAGTTCTGTGGGACGAGCATTGCTAGAAGAAGCTAGAAGAAGACTACATAAACGGGCACACCAAGCTTGCATTTATGCAAGTCGAAAATATTTGAACACCATTTACTGCCCATAAAGGCATTATCAAAGGCAAGCAAGGGAAAGAACTGTCCAACCAACAAGATGTCAAAAACAGATGGTGAGAATACACAGAAGAGCTGTACACTAGTAACGAAGAAGCCCAACCTCAGGATACCAAGGAAAGGGAAGTTGAGAAAGAACCAGCCATCCTTGAGGAAGAGATCATGTGAGCAATGAGCCAACTACCAAAGATCAAGGCTCCAGGTCTTGACATCATCTCCGCAGAATTTCTGAGACCTGTACCATCTGCAGTCATCAGAGCCCTGTGTCAGAAAATTTGGGAAACCAGCACATGGCCAAGGGACTGGAAATGCTCAGTGTTCATTCCACTACCAAAAAAGGGAGACTCCAAAGACTGCTCCAATTATCACATAATCGCTCTCATCCCTCACATTAGCAAAATTCTGCTTAAAATTATACAACAATGCCTGGCACCAACCATTGATAGGGAATTGCCAGATGTCCAAGCTGGCTTGCGAAGGGGGGATGGCACTTGTGACCATATAACAAATCTGCGTTGGATCATGGAGAAATCTCATGAGTATCAAAAGATTATCTACTTATTCTTTATCGGTTACAGTTGTCAATCATGACAAACTGTGGAGAGCCCTACAAGACCTGAGCATGGTATTCCTGAATATACCTGAATACCAATACTGGTAATGTATGGGTATCTGAAAATATTCGGGAATACCGAAAAAATTCACCTCCATTATATCCTATGGGGTCATTGTAGTCAATGGCAAAAACTTCTAAGGGAGTATTCAGTGGGCTGGGGAGGGGGGATTTGAGGTGGAGGCACCAAATTTGTACTGTAGCTGCTGAAGCCTCTCACCAGAAGAGTCCCCAATTTTGGAAAAGTTTGGATCAGGGGGTCCAATTCTAGGGTAATCCAAAGAGGGTGCCCCTATCCTCCATTGTTTACAAAGGCAGGCAGATAAAACAACAGCCCAGCAGTTTCACCCAGAGAATCTCTGCAGTAGAAACTAAGTGAGGTGTGGTATGAGGGGGCATGTTTGCAATGTCAGCAGCAGTGCAAAAACCCAACAGGACGAAGTTCAAATCAGAGAATCTCTGCAGTATATGTGGTATGTTTGCAAGGCTAGCAGCAGAACCAGTGCAGTGTATCTAGTGCTAGTGCCCAGCAGCAAAACCCAGTACCATTGTGGCAAATGCCAGCTCAACAGGAGGACTGATGTCAACTTAAGCACAGAATCATCACAACAATACGCAATTTAAAAAACAAAACAAAAACAGATTTCTGTGATTGGCCAAGAGCAGTGTGCCCACTGTTACCTGTAACCCTATTGGCCAGTGCTCCTCCCCCCTCCTGTCCCTTGGAAAGCAAGCTAGTAGTTGGGCTTCAGGTTTGAAACCAGCAACAACAGCCTTGCAAGGTGCAATGTCATTTGCAAATGCATTGCAGTGATTTGCTGTATGTAAGGTCCCTCTTCCCCCTCCCTTCTGAAAAGCAGAGCAAAGGGCAGGAAAGAGAAGGTAAACAAATCCCTTTAAAGTTTAAAAGCCCCGCATCATTGGCTTTTATTCAGCATTCTGTATTCGGCTGCTGAATCAGATCAGAGATTCTGATTTGGCTTCCCGAATACCCGAAAAATACTGAAAATGGGTTTTCAGGGTTTTCCCCCCTCAGTTCGGCTTTACCGAATGCACACCTCTAGTTATGAGCTTACAACCACCATAATGCGCCTATGGCCTGATTTCTAGCACTGTGTTTCTGGAGGCTTTCTTTAAAGTGACTATGGCATTGAAATATAATAATGATGCATACCAGTCGAACAATTTTTCATTGGAATAATTTAAGACATAATTATACTCCAGTTGTTACAATACCATTTATAACTGAAGTAGTGCTACCAGCAAAATTGCAAGCTTGATACGATGGAATGTATATTATGCAAGCTGAAGGCAAAACCCAGCCATGAGCTTTGACAAAAATAAAATTAGTGTAGCCATTTAGAAGAAATTTTTTGTCTCCCTTTCCTTCGCTCAACTCTTACATTTTTTGTGTATAAGTGCGGTGTGGGGTGTTTTTTTTTTACTGATAATAATGTGTGTACCTTTGAATACAGTGTTTGTCCTACAGCATTTATTTAAGTGCATCATTAGTAAGGAGGTGTTGGCAGCACCCCCTTTATTTAGTTCATTGAGGTAAACTTAGTTTGTGAAATGTTGAAGCTGCATAAGAACATAAGAGACGCCAATGTTGGATCAGGCCAAAGGCCCATCCAGTCCAACACTCTGTGTCACACAGTGGCCAGAAATACCAGTGCCATCAGGAGGTCCAGCAGTGGGGCCAGGACATTAGAAGCCCTCCCACTGTTGACCCCCCCCAAGCACCAAGAAGACAGATTCTTGGTACATTGTAGCCAACATGGAATTCTAAAGTTTTGAAAGCGAAGTGAACTCCCTGCCTTTGACTCAGATTGATTCTGGCTGGTGGCTGTTCATATCATGTCAATGTGCAAGGGACTGCAAGTGATAGGTGCATAGGGTCTTAGCTAAAAGATTTAAGAACATAAGAACATAAGAGATGCCAATGTTGGATCAGGCCAAAGGCCCATCCAGTCCAACACTCTGTATCACACAGTGACCAGAAATACCACTGCCATCAGGAGGTCCACCAGTGGGGCCAGGACATTAGAAGCCCTCCCACTGTTGACCCCCCCAAGCACCAAGATGACAGAGCATCACTTGCCCCAGAGTCCCTATCTATACCTTGTGGCTAATAGCCACAGATGGACCTCTGCTCCATATGCTTATCTAATTCCCTTTTGAAGCCGTCCATGCTTGTAGCCGCCACCACTTCCTGTGGCAGTGAATTTGTCCTACAGCATTTATTTAATTTATTTGAATTGGACTTTGGGGGTTCTCCACATGCTGTGCCTCAAAACCTCATCCATGTTTTATGAATGTTTTACGAATATGAGAAAATTATTGTTTTTGAAGTTATTCCCTGTTTATATCCCCTATAATGTTTGGATAGAGAACTTTTACTTTATAGCAGAACACTGGTGGTGGAAGGTGACGTCAATTCACAGCTGACTTTGGGTGACCCCCATAGGGTTTTTGAGGCAAGAGACGTTCAGAGGCGGTTTGCCATTGCCTGCCTTTGTGTCATGACCCTGGTATGCCTTGGAGGTCTTGCATCCAAATACTGACCAGGGCCAACCCTGCTTAGCTTCAGGGATCTGACAAGTCCAAGCTAGCCTGACCTGTTAGGTCAAGGCTGTTATCCGCGTCAATGCAGGACACACTAGTTCTTCACGAACACTAGAGCAAAGTTTGAGTTCAGTGGCACCTTGAAGACCAACAAAGTTTTATGCAAGATATGAGCTAAATCCAATTAATTTGTATGCCCGCATTCATATTTCTTGTGTAATAAGTGTTAGCGTCTGATTGGGATTTTCTATGCCAGAAGGGAAGGGAAATGAGGGAGGAGCGAAGGATCTACACAAGCCCCATGATAAGCTGAGTTGGTTGGCATTCTGGCTTGACACAGGTTCAAAATGGCACCTGACTGCATCCTTAGAATTCATTTCAAAGCATGGGATGACCATTCTGGCCTTCATTTTGAAGCTTGTGAAGCAGTTTTGCTGTTGCAAGATTCTTAAGCGTATCCCCCCCACCTCCACCCCCAAATGGCTGAACAAAATTCCCTAAGTCATCACTGTGACATCTTGAGATCTACTGTATGGGGGATTTATTTATCAGCAAAGGTTTTTAAACCGTATTTTTGGTTTTAATTGCAGGTATGAGAAGGTCCCTGTGATCTTGGTTGGGAATAAAGTGGACCTGGAGAGCGAGAGGGAAGTATCGTCCAGTGAAGGCAGAGCTCTGGCCGAAGAATGGGGTTGTCCATTTATGGAGACTTCCGCAAAAAGCAAAACAATGGTGGATGAGCTTTTTGCAGAAATCGTCAGACAGATGAACTATGCGTCGCAGCCGGATAAAGATGACCCATGTTGTTCTGCATGTAATATACAATAGCGTTACAGATTATGGAATTGGACCTTGATTTGCTGTATTTTTGGTAAGGTAACAGGACTGACTGCTTCACTTTGTGATTTAAGCTGGGTCCCTTGGGATAAATCCAAAGTGGAGTAGCAGCATCAACTCCAAGCAGAACACTGACGTTGGTGGGTTTGAGATTCTGAAAGTCACTTACCTGGAGCACATCTTCTACACCTGCTACTCTGTAGCACAGCCATCAGCTTTACAGGGTGAGCACAAGTGATGTTTTTTCGCCTCGGCAAGTGACAGCCGTTGACCTCTTTCGGTCGAGGGTTGTTGACGGTGGTGGAAAGGAGAGCACCAGCAAAAGACCTTTTGCACACTGCATAGTCTCTGCTGATAAATAAAATTGAATGGAACTTTTAAGTGTCTGCATATTGAATTTCAGGACTTGTCACTTGTGGCCAAGTTTACTCAGTCAAATATGCTAAGTTCATCTTTACCTTTGACACAAGTGTTAGTAGCGTTATTGGCAAATAGATGTAATTATGTTTCTCTCCCCCCCCCCACCCTTTAATTTGATTCCGTTCTATTATCCCATCATGCGAAAAGGAAAATATTCCATCAGTACTTGAAAGTAAAGAGATGAGCTCTGAAAAAAAGAATCAAAGGCTTGTGAAGAGAACAGTGAGACGTCGGAATGTGTTAGATATTCTGCTTTGCTGCTCGGAAATGGCATGGATCACTTCAGATGCTGTTCGGTCAAGAAACCAAACAAACCCTCCATTTATGAGGCAGGAAACATGTTCATCTCTTTCCTGAACCAGGAGGGAAGGAACTATGATGGGGGGAGAAAATATCGCTTAGCCTTACTGACGAGGAAAATGTTAGCACATTAACAAATACCATCTTGTAAGGAAAATGAAGCCATGTTGTATCCAGATGTTCCTTTTTTGCAAAAACCTCACAGGGGACAGTCTGAGCATCTTGCATTTTTTTTTAAGTTTTAAGGGTACCGGTTTATTTCTTGCCTTTTTAAGGGCTACATCTTTGGTGTGATACCCCGATTAACCTTTGAAAGTCAAATTTGCCATTTTATAGCTTTAATGTTGGCAACCTGGTTAATTGAATTAGCTGTGTTGAAGTTACTTTGGCTCAGAAGTTGAATACACAGTGTTGTAGTTCCACAGGTGAGGGAGGGGAAAGATTGGTGCCCCCCCCCGCCCTTTTCAATTGCCTAACATGCTAGTCAGATGCTGTTATACAGTGATACCATTGCCCTGGTTGTTGCCGTGAAAGTGAGTGAAATGTTGTTTTGAAATGGTGCTCAGCCTCTGATCTTAACTTCCATAGCAGTTGAAATACTTATCATTTGCATGACTTTAACAGCACCGGTTATATCTATTCTGATGTCTTACAATCAAGGAAGTTTCCAGTCGGAATGTCTAGGGTTGAAATGCTGGAGTCGATCATATTGAGACGGACCTTTATGGAAACATTTGGCCTTTAAACGCAATACCATTGAGCTTGTGGTCCAAATGTCACCCTGGAGTTTGGCTTCTCAGTCTTGTGAAAATAGCTATGTAATTCCTTTGTGTCGATGAGTGGAGAGGCGTGTATGTATCTTGTGTGCCTGTTGGTGGGACTGTGTGTGTGTGTGTGACTTCCTACAAATGCTGTAATGAAGTTGAGTTCTGAGGCATTTGCCTCCATCAGCAGAAATACACCTTTCAATCTAAAGCGCGTCTACAGGAACTGCGTTCCAAAATGTGTGTTTGAACTTTGACAACACTCGGCCACTTTATTTCGTGGACAACATGCCATGTTTAATTACGTTCACAATTTAAAGATGGCAGATGAGTAGAGGCCACTGTTGCCTTAGTCCTTGCATGTTTCCCCATAACCAAGGAAGCAAAGAGTATAACGCGAAGTACGATGTCCTACTCTGGAAATGTAGCTCCTTCCCAACCAGCTTGCACGGCCTTTGAAGTTGTGGCCCCTGCTGTTGACAACCTGCATGTGTCAAGGGGGGGGGAAGAATTGTCACGAGTTCAACAATATCTAGAATGTTTTAGAAGGAATGTCACTGCAGAAGTAGCTTGGTCTCTTAGGAAAATGACTGGCTGCAGAATTGAAATAACTTGCTCTCTCCTCTCCCCCGACATGCCATTAATTTTGAATACTGATCCGAGCAATTCCAAAAAATAGTCCCTGTCTCTTGCGCGGCAGATTGCTTATGCACCCGTAACAGTGACACGGATAACATGAATGAAGGGAAATAAAATAGCATTTATGATGAAAGCGGGCACAGAAGTCATTGCAATGCCATATTCTGAACAGGAGAGAAAAATCCTTCCTAGATAATGCTTACTGTGGTTTTGGAGACAAAGCACTGTGTGTTGTTGCAAAAGTGTAATGGTTTTATGTGATGTGTCATTCTAAGGAGGTAGTTTGTGTGCTGTTTGGACTCTGCAAACATTACTAGTGGGACAGTGAAGGGTGTGTGGGCCTGATTTTTTTTTAATCAGCAAAAGGGATAGACCAGCTGCAGTTTAATCACATTTACATGGATCCCCCTGCTCCCAGAAAGAAACTGAATTGACCTCCGTGTAATGTGTTTAGGCCAGCAAAGGGAACCATGGGGAAAAACAGGTGACAGCCAGTTGTCTAGTGCCAATTCCAAAGGTGCCACGGCTCCTCTGGTTGATTCCTCCCTTCTCCTCCCCCCTTCCCGCCAGCAGTGGTGGTGGCTTATCTTGTGGCCGTGGCTCTGTTGTGTTAGATGTTTTCTGTTAGCCAGAGATAGATTTCAAGGAGGGCAGCGGCCTGCTCCTAAGCCAGCCTCTTGGCCACCCTAGCTCTGTGCCACTGGGAATGTGGGGTGTACCCTGCCGTGTTCATAATGAGGCACGGTGATGCTTTCCCACTCTGTGTGCAAGAGCAGCACACTGGCATCTGTTGGTGCCATCACACGTCCTGGGAGTTACTTATCAAGGATCAGTGCATTATTTTATATCCTGATCAGATCCCAATGATAGTATTTTTGTTCCGGTATGACATGCCTTAAAACATTATCATTTGATCCAAAGACCCGCTTATCCCTTTAGCTGTTCTCGTAGAGCTCTGTATTTTTCTGCAGATGGCATTTTTTACGTTTATATTGTAAAATGTCGCAGCTCCTTCTGGAAATGTGTTAATTGCCCTTTTCCCTTTTCACGGGAGTTAATCAAGCCATCATCGACTCTAAAAGCTTTCATGGTAAGGATTTTTTTCAAGTTTTCCTCCCCTATCAAGAGCAGCTTTTAGAGAGTTCCTCTTCACAGCAGGACCGACAACGCTTCACTCCTCTTCATATACTCCATTTCTAAAGATGCCATTAACTTCCTGTGGGCAAACTTCCTGGTATTTGCTTTTTAAAACAAAACAAAACATACAAGCATCCTCTGTTCTGGTTGGGGAGATGTATGGTTTCCCCTCCGCATGTGCTCAAAGCAGCAGCTAATGTGATGGTGAAGTACATTTGGCAGGAATTTTCATGTGCATTTCTCCCTCTTGTCAGTTCTTGATCAGGGTTTCAAATGATTGCAGTGTGGTTTTTGAGACTAGGCTTACCCGTCGACAATTTGGGATTTCCTAAGAGTTGAATAAAGATATTTAACAGTTGATCGTCGAGCTCAATTGCAATTGATAACTGAGGAAAAAAAAAAACACAGCAAGTTTTATAAGGGGTCAGTTTAAAATCACAATGTTTCAAAAAGAAAATCAAATTGTACATAGAACTCGATGCAAACTCAGCAGTTGTATTTGGAGTTAAATTATTTTAACAAATAAATTTATTTAATGAAATGTCTGTTTGGGTTTCCTTTCCCCATCCCCTCCTTATTTTTCTTGCTCGAAAACAGAACTCATTCTGCCATATTTTTAATCACTCAGTGAGAATTTAGTTGACCCCACCAAACTGGTTCTGTAAAGGAACATATTTGTCATGTATTCTTGGTGAGAAACTCTAAATCCCCATTCATGCATATTCAGCTAATAGGTGATGTTTTTGCAAAATATCCTATTTCCAAGCAATACAACAGGTTGAATTAAACCTCTCTGAAGTGGACTATAACTACACATTTGATATATAATAAAGCTAACTTCAGCTATTACTAGCAAGCCAGCATTGATCTAAGATGCATTGGGTCCTAATAAAACATCACTCATCAGGTCTGCTACTCAGAGGCCTTTGCACTTCTGTTGCTCTGCAGAATGTCCATTAGTTTGAGTCTGATAGTGCTATTTCAGTCTTGGTGGTGCTCATGTTAACACGATTGTTCCAGCCAACTGACAGTGATTAGCAGTTGCATTGTCGTCCTGCCAGTGTGGATAAAATACACCATTGTTGATGACAGAAATGGGTATTGCGTGTTTTTTTGTTTCTATGCCATGTGGGTCCTCAGGTGCCAAAGACTAGAGGCTGGCACACTGTGAGAACTATGTCTTCCGTAGCTAGCACTGTGAAGGTTGACAAATGCTGCCAATTGTACGCAGCCATCAGCTGGTCTTGCAACTGATAACTGGCCCATTCATTCTATAGGCAAATTTCCACCGTAGTTTTGGCCCAGGTCCTTCTAAAGGCCCCTGGTAGCAATTCCACTCAGTAATATCTCTGGGTCAATGTGCTGCTTTTGCAAAGAAGTGAGCATGTAAGTGTGGACTGTGAATTCTTTTGTCTCTTCTCCTCCCCCCTCCCTTCCCCCAATTTACATTTCTATAAACTTTCATATAATGCTGGCCTTTCAGAATACTTGCTTGGGTTGCAGTGCTGAAAACAGCATTCAATATATGCCATTTGAAAAGATTTATGGTACTGAAGGTCCCCAAAGCATATTATTGAGGGGGGGTGTCCCCTGTTTCCCCTCCCCCTTTGCCATCAGCTACATTTTCCCATCACTGCAGGCTCTCATTGCTACTAGATGGAGTCCCCTCTCTCGTTTCCTCGTATCTGCTTCCCCCAGTGTTTGCATGCCACTTTAGGTTGCTGTGGCTACCATAATCCTGCCAAACTCTGGCTTTTTGTGTGTTGGCGAAGCTTGCACATGCACAGATATTGGTAGCAACATCGTTGGGGTTTTTTTTACCCCAAAACAATAGCACAGGGGAGGGGTTAAGACCAATGTTCCCTCTAAGCTGTGGAGTCTTGTGAGCAAAAATTCTACTTTGTGAGCTACTGGCGTTAAAGTTGTGAGCGAGCAATTTGGCTACTGCATAAATTAGTCTGCTCTGGAGCCATCCTTCCTGAGCTAAGACAAAAATGTGTGAGCTGGAGGCTAAAAAACTGTGATGAGCGTCTATTCGGTTTGACGCATGCGTGGATCTCCCTCAAGCTGTTCAAGAGACATTTTTCTGCTAACCTGAGCGTTTCCTTGGGTTTGCAGAATCCCAAACCATAGCTCTGGCTGGCCCTGTCATCTAGATTTGGATGGGGGACCTGCCCTTAACTAATAAATATAGAGATAATAAAATTCAGTTATTTTCTTTGCTGAAGAATGTAGGAGAAGGGACTGAAAGAATGGTGTATGCACAGTGTTGGAAACAAGAAAGAACACTAGAAATAGAAGAATGGATACGAAAAATTCTGTTCATGGCAGAGATGGATAAAATTACGAAGAAACTGAATAACAAGGAAGACCTTGACTTTTTTGAAGAATGGAAGGACTTTAAACTTTACCTAGAAAAAAACTGGGATGTGAAGCACAATTTACTATGTTTAGAACAATATTGAGATTAATTGATGTTATCTTAAGATGTACTGGAGGGTCAAAGGGGGAAACATTGCGGGAAGCCACCAGGAGGGAGGGGGGATATGGGAATATAGGTATTGGTTTAAGAATGATAATAGTTTTTTTTTAACTGTAAGAGGTTATTTCCATGAAAATAAAAAATTCTTTTACCAAAAAAAAAAGAATGTAGGAGAAGGTGGTGGTGGTGGAAGGTGCCGTCAAGTTACAGCTGACTTATGGCGGACCTGTAGGGTTTTCAAGGCAAGAGACGTTCAGAGGTGGTTTGCTATTGCTTGCCTCCGAGTCACAACCCTGGGCTTCCTTGGAGGTCTCCCATCTAAATACTGGCCAAGGCCAATCCTGCTTAGCTTCTGAGATCAGATGAGATCAGGCTAGCCTGGGCTGTCTTGTATGTTGGTGCCATTCTCCCTTTAACGGTACTTTAGAACATTTGTTTAAAAACGGGTTAAAGTTGGAAGAAATTTTGGGCTCTGAAAAGCTGGTAAAAAAAATCCTCCTTCCTAGATATTTTCTGTCCTGCACTCGTCTCTGTTTCTCTTCAACCTGAAGACTTACTCCAACGCTTTCTCAAGACCTCCATTTAAGCTCCCCGTTGGTCAGTCCGGTAAACGATATGACCCTTTCCCACTTTGTCAGCACACACATAAATATTTCTACCCATCTGTGGGATGTAAAGGGGCTGCTTGCTTAACAACCATTTTTAACTGAATTGGTGATATTCTAAATTGTATCTATCAATGGAGGGATGCATTTTTCATGTGGGGTGGACTGGCCAATAGGTATAGAACCCACCTGCAGCTATTGGATTACCGCTTTGGGATCTGACTTTGGTCTAATTGCATCAGTGGCACTGGGTAGTGAGCAGCTGAAAACCGACGCCTAGGAGACAGGCAGGGATGAAAGGAGACTAAAGTGGAGAATCCAGTCCAAAACTGGCTAAATATGTAATGAACAGACTGGCATCAAAGACGCTAGATATATTCAATCATCGTGTCAGTATGTTATTAATCTCAAAGTGAAACTGTAAGTGACATTATTGTAACAGTAAATACAATTAATAAACATTCATGAAGTAGTTGTAATTATAAGAATACATGAAGTTATTTTGATTGTTATAAAGTGATTGCTGACGAGAACCTTCGGTTTTGTCTCTTCGTCTGAACAAACCTTCAATAAGGGTTTCAGACAGTCCTATTTTCCTACCCACGATTTCTGCGTGTCATGCAAACATCTTCAAGTAGTGTTAATCAGTAATTCATCTTCAATGTGCACGTTACGTCGGGCGTTCTACAAATCAAATGAAAGGCGCCTTATAATCTTATAATCCCAATTCATGAATGTTTATTAATTGTATTTACTGTTATAATAATGTCATTTACAGTTTCACTTTGAGATTAATAATATACTGACATGATGATTGAGTATATCTAGCATCTTTGATGCCAGTCTGTTCATTACATATTTAGGGATGAAAGGAGAAGCAAAATGTCTTGGGTCACGGCATCAAGTGCTTCTTCACAAGCGCTCCACTTCTCCTGGTTGCTGCTTGCTTTTTTATATTAAAACATTAAAGCCCGCCTTCCTAATGGGGAGTGTGTATGTGCAAAGGTACCATCAAGTTGCAGCTGACTTATGGCAGCCCCATAAACTGGGATGGGCATGAACCAGCTCACAAACTAAAGTTCATATGAATTTTGGCCGGTTTGTGGAGCAATGTTCATAAACTGAAGAGCCACCACGAACTTCCATTAATTTTTATGCAGTTCGTTGTGATTCGTGAAGAGCAGAAAGCAGGGGTTTAAATGGCTCAGGGCAGAAAGCAGGGGGTTAAATGCCTCAGAGCCATTTTACCCCCCAATTTCTGCTTGCCGCCGAACTGGCATATCGCAAACCAGCATATCAGTTCGTGGTTCGGTTCATGGTTCAGCCATGAAAGTAAAGGTAAAGGTTCCCTTGCTCGAAAGCCAGTCGAATCCGACTCTAGGGTTGCGGTGCTCATCTCCGTTTCGAAGCCGAAGAGCCAGCGCTGTCCGAAGAATGTGATTCGTGCGCATCCCTACCCATAAGGTTTTCAAAGTAAGAGACTAACAGAGGTGGTTTGCCATTTCCTGCCTCTGTGTTGTGACCGTGGACTTCCTTGGTGGTCTCCCATCCAAATACTAACCAGAGCCAACCCTGCTTAGCTTCCAAGATCTGATGAGATTGGGCTAGCCTGTGTTAAAAGAAGCTCATAACAATATAAAATTAAATAAGGGCCACAGGCTTTAGTTGATCTAATTATTTGTTTAAATAAGAAGGTGCCCCCATGCAAGTCCTCCGTTTGTACATCCTGTATGCAATAAACTTTACTGGCCTGTGTAATGTCACGTGGAAATAACCAATAAGGTTATCATTGCTCTGAATCAAAGTGTCTGTGTGCAGGACTCTGCTTCCATGCTTGGCATTGAATTAAATCTTCATTTCCTAGGACTTTGTGTGATGCCTTAAAACTGAAGTAATTACCTGGCCATTTTGAGAGAATTCTGGCCTGGCCTTGCCTGTTACTCCACCCAAACCTTTCAGAATGCAAGGCCTATGTGATGACTTGCATAAGAAAGTTTTTGACTTGCCCGGATAATGGTCATTATTTGTGCCCAAAGAGAATTCACATGAGTATAACACCCAGGCTTTTTCCTTTCCTACATGAAACGTGGTAGCCCATGTAGGAAATCTGTCATGTGAAGCAGCCTATAGAAAAATAGCACCTTGCCATGCTTGAGAATTGATGCACTCTGCAGAAGCCAGAAATTGTCACAAATTGACTTCAAATGTTGCTGCATCCATTGCTGATTTTGTTGGACTGATGAATGCTACATCTTAAAATCTTTTAAGTCTGTGGCAGGCTAATTCCTTTCTGCTATGCTAGCCTTAAAGGTCTTTTGCAGCTGCCAAACAGCACGGCTTCAACGAGATCCTAATATTCTTTAAGCATCTCTCTTCCTAAGAGAAATGGATTTTAGCACTTGA